TGTTGCCATAATGGAATGTGTTTATTTTAATTAGACACATACCATATACTAGAAAACAACGCGAATGTAAAATACATTAGGCATAAATGAACAGATCGTCAAAGTAAAAGATAAAAAATAATAATTGTAAATGATAGAATATTAATCGAAGATCTCAAGATATGTTCATGTTTAGTGAATAATAACAGTTGGAATCGTATAATTATTATATCCGCATCGATTACGAAGTCAGTGTTTTCGAAACATAAACGCAGATAACGTGAACTTATTTTCAACCATCTGGAAATACCCCGAGTTCTTGTTGACTGCGAAGAAAAGGAAACGGAAGTAATCGGAAAACGGAAGTAGTCGTGAGGGTTGCTGCTCCTGCGATTTGCATAAGTCATTTGTCACGGGTCCTTGGGCGTGTTTCCTGATCGAAACTTTCGTTTGTTTGCATCAAACGCCGAAATCAACGGGCCGAGACCTTCGAGTGGAACATTTATTCGCGGAGGCTTGAATCCTTTCTAACAATCTCTCGCGATCGCGATATGCAATAATTTTATTTGAGATTTATTTTTATGTCGAGAAATACAACGGGATTTAAAAATTAAAAATTGCAAGAAAAATAATTCAAAATTAGTGAGAGAATTTCTTATCGTATTTTTGTGCGTCTTTTAATCATATGTGTCATCGAATACGATATAAAGCGGTACGATTATGTCGTCCAATTCTTATCTTAAGACACTGATTTATGTCGCTGCGCGACGAGACGATGCTATTTAGTGTCTACGACAAATTAACGTATGCAAATCAAAACGTTAATCATATCGCGCGAACCGAAGATGGATGAAAATTAATCTAGTGGATCGATCTAAGCCCTAAGCTATCGAAGCGAGAATTAGAATAGTCCACTCACGAATTATTCTCAATCGTATCTTATGCAATATTGTAATAAATCGGCACATAAATATTGAGACAATAACTGCGAAAAAATGATCATCAATTATTATAGATTAATTGCTAATAGAACGATCTTCTCTTTTTTTCTTCTAATTATAAGTTTGCCGAAACAGGTTGAATCGAAAATTTTATGATACTGAATATTAAGAGGATGCCGGATACCGACAGAATGCGAATATTAGTAGGATTGCAAAATATTTTTGTTGATTATAGATATCAACAAATCCTAATTTTATTTCTGAGCAATGATGACAAGTTTGTGCCCAATCTACATACCGTATATATTATGCAAATTTAACCGATAAGAAAATATAATACAATACCATTGACAACGAGATCGTAGCAAATATACGGAAGATGGATGAAAATTAATCTAGCGGATCAAATTACGCTATACGAACCTACCGGACGTAATATTTATATAATTTCCGTCTCGTCTATATTTCCACGTGTAAGCTCCCGTAAGAAGACTCACGTAAGAGGGATTTTTAAGTCAGTCGAGAGAGATCTCCTTGGATCGGAAATCGATTTCGAAGGCCTCGGTGATCGTATAATACCCGCCGGTGTGATCTCGAAAGAAATTTCAACCGTAAAGGCGCATCAAGGAAATCCGCGCAAAAAAAATATAACCGCCAATTAAGCAAGTAAGTTCTCATGATTGTTAAAGATGGACACTATGAATGGGCATGTTGAATTAATTAACACGTTGAATTAGATCGCGATGTGCGATCGAATTGATCGCGCAAGTTGTTCGCGATTCTACGAGTAAAGGTAAAAGACATTACTTTCTCCCAAACAATAATAAATAATAATCTAGACGAATAAATGTGAATTGAAGTAGTATTGAATGGAATTTATTTATGATGGAATTTATTTATTTATTTATTTATAATGGAATTTATTTATTTATTTATTATTTCTCCTTTTTTGTGGCATATTAATTTGAAAATAAATGATTTTATCGACGCGATAAAGTATATCGAGCTTTTACGAGGGCTGAAAGAAAGCGATCACACGGAATTGAAATGCAAAGATGACGTTTTCGCGGGTCAGGGACGCGCGCCGGTAATCGCAATTGCCCCTATTGTCGTATATAACATTGACTTTTTATTACCAGCGTAGGACTTTGCAATCGCTAAGGAGGACATGTCTCCCGCCGCGAATGGATGTAGATCGTTGCTGTGTTTAAACTTGCATCGATATGTGTATATACGGTGAGCCGATCATAATCGCGTCTACTGGATGCCTACTGGTGGCGATCGTGAGATCGCATAGGAATAATGAGTTCTTGAAAAAAAGAGAGCTCGAAGTCACATCGACTGTGCCGACGATGCCGTTACACTTTAATGCAACTCTAATAGATTTCCTTGCAAGGTACTGATAAGGATAATACATTATAGCGAATTTAAAAGCTTCTTTCTCTCTCTCTTTGCGTTTTTATCTATATGTCAAATTTTTTCTATTATTTTAAGATATTTTTTTATTTATGCAACACAAATTATAGAATTTGTTTTATTAATTTATGCATTTGAAAATTAGCGAGTCTTGTCCAAATATCAGGTTTTTCTGTCGTTTCCTTTATTTTATTTTTTTACGACATGACTATCGTTACACATTTCTCCAACAATAACTCAGGATGATATCATTCTTATTAACCTGTCGTTTCCTTTATTTTATTTTTACGACATTACTATCGTTACACATTTCTCCAACAATAACTCAGGATGATATCATTCTTATTAAACGCATCTCCTTTGTTATTGTTATAAATATGCTTATCGTCTCAGATGGAACTTCGACGAAGTGACTAAACAACTGTCGCGATGTATAAAGGAAACACTTGAAAACACTATACGGGTGCGAGGATATGATACGACATATAATTTATCGTCCCGCGACAACAATGACGCTATCTTTAGTAGCCCATTTTTTTTAAGAAAAAATGGGCCATTGCCGGCGCTAAACTCGCGTCATTTAGAATTTTTTATCTTCCCTCGCGCCTCTCGCATTGGCCTAGGTCATGGATGCACAAGATCGAGATATCGGCTGCAAATATATACATACGTTACGTGTTCGCACTGTTATTAATCATTGTGTGCTTTTTATCATGAAAGCGCACGAACTTACAATCACTTTGGAGGCCGTACCTTCTGTCATTTGTGGCTAATATAATGGTATCTCTTTCTCTCTCTCTCTCTCTTTCTTTTTTACCGATAAAAACGCGCACGCGATTCATCGCTACGGGAAGAAATTGTTATCGTTGATGAAAAGCTAACGATTCGATGTACCACGATGGTCTATATAAATCATCTTTTTTCGATAAAAAAAAAAAAAACTCAACATGCTCTTTACGATACACTTATTCGCGTGAAAATTAATTCGAATTTCCATTCTGTCAAGAATATCTAGCGGATATGTCTCCGCTTGTTTCCCGCGATAATCTTCATATAATCCCATCC